CCAGCATTTGTTGTTCTTAGTTTTTTCAATGCTGGCCATCCTTACTGGTGTGAGGTGATATCTCATTGTGGTTTTAATTTGCATTTCCCTGATGATTAGTGATGTGGAGCATCTTTTCATGTGCCTATTGGCCATCTGAATTTCTTCTTTGGAGAACTGTCTGTTCAGCTCCTCTGCCCATTTTTTAATTGGATTATTTGCTTTTTGTTTGTTGAGGTGTGTGAGCTCTTTATATATTTTGGATATCAACCCTTTATCAGATCTGTCATTTATCAAATATTCTTCCATATTGTAGGATGCCTTTTTGTTCTATTGATGGTGTCCTTTGCTGTACAGAAGCTTTTCAGCTTGATGTAGTCCCACTTGTTAATTTTTGCTTTTGTTTCCCTTGCCCGGGGAGATATGTTCATGAAGAAGTCGCTCATGTTTATGTCCAAGAGATTTTTGCCTATGCTTTTTTCTAAGAGTTTTATGGTTTCATAACTTACATTCAGGTCTTTGATCCATTTCGAATTTACTTTTGTGTATGGGGTTAGACAGTGATCCAGTTTCATGCTCTTACATGTAGCTATCCAGTTTTGCCAAGATCTGCTTATCTCATAAGGCGAGGGACCATGTCTGCCTTACTCACCCCTGTATTCCTAATGCATCTGTCCTAACCTGCAACAGAAAGCACTTATTTCATGTCCCAGATGCCAGCATACTTACCTGGTAGATGTGAGTCTCACTAGTGGCATCGACTGTCTCATGCAGCTTTGGCATATACACTTTAATATCTTTCCCACCAAATGCACGGCAGCACTCTGCAAGATCCTGACTGGCCTCCGGTGGTCCATGGACAATAATCAACTGTCGTGGCTTCATCTGATTAATGATCTTTTTAATGGAATCCCCATCAGAGCGTCCTTCATAGTCTATGTAAGTAACCCTAGCTCTGTAATTACACATGATTATTCAAGCTTACTTTTCTGGTAAATTAATTCTACATCTAAGCTTATAATGGCTTTTATCATCAGGAAAGAAATGTGTACCATACATAAAATGAGGATTTGAGGAATACACGTGTTACACTGTTAGTATGTTATTTCGGGGACAGAGATGATGGATTATTTAATAGATATTATTAGAAAAAATGGCTCACTACCTAAAGAAAAATAAAATTGGACCCTGACCTAATGCCATACATCTTAGCAGGTAAGGAAAAGCCATAAGAGAGATATGCAAGGGTCTAAATTTAACAGAATAACATATAAGACTTATCTTTGTGACCAGGGACAGGGAGGATTTAAAAACCTCAAAGACCATAGTGGTAAATATTTTCTAATTTCATTACATTCAAAATTAAAGATTTATTAAAATGAAGTAGACCAGGGATAACTCTTACAAACAAAACAGAAAGAGAAGGAACATTTGCACTGTCTAAAACCAACCAGGGATAATATCCAGAATATGCAATGAACTCCTACAAACCAGTAACAAAAGGGGAGCAAGCCCTAAAGAAAAATACACAAAGGAAAACAAAGAAAACAAGCATTTGAAGAGAGAATCGAATTTAAGCAGACTTACACCTATTAGACTGGAAAACATCATTATAGAGTCAGATAATGCCAAATGTTATGAGGAAACAGGGATGAAGAAACCTCCTGCCCTGCTAGTGAAAATACAAAATGATGCAGCTATACTGGAGAGAATTTTGTGATAATGTTAATATGCATTACTTAGACATTAGGCTCAAGAATATATACTAAATGATATCACTGGACAAAGAAACCACTTTGCTCTCTAATGACTTAAAAAAATTCCAAAATAATTATTTATTAACTGTACTAAGATAAGGAAAAAATGGTTTCACAATTACTTCAGATCACAATAGCATTAAGATGTTAAGGCACTAGAGATGTTGAAGTCAAGGGATGTATTTTATGAAACAACCACTTGGAAAAATTATACTTGTGAACTGCACAAGTTCACCTGTGACTAGACTACTAAAAAGACCAGATAGAATGTTTCTTCACATATATGTACAATTTAATGTTTAACCCCCTCCTCACTACTAAATCAATTACTTTGGCATTCAAATATCACTAATAAACAGAAAATATCACCCTACTTTACAAATCTTCACAAATTTTAAAAGCACACTTACTAAAGGATATTCATAAATTCATGTTTGAAACAATATAAATTATATAGTTCAAGTGCTTGAAATTTTATCTTGTAATCTATTTTCAAAATGTAATGAAAGTACTTACTTTATTTCAATAGACTCTGTGGCAGATATACACTTTGTAGGAACATCAGATAAATCCTGATCCATCGGTTCATCTCCATTTGTCAAGCCAGATTCTAATTTACTTTTTTCTTCTTCAGTAGCTTGAAGTTCTGGCACTAAGAAATCCTCTGGTCTAAATAGTAAGTCTCCAATTAGAAGTAATAACAAAAAAGCCAATATCATGTAACACATACAATAGGTAGATGGCATAGTTCTGGACTCCTCATGTATCTCAAGACTTAAATATACATTCAATCCAAAGTCAGTGCAGTTTCGTAATATCAGTCATCAGCTTACTGCACATATTATGTTCTTCATGACTATTAAAGGATGCTCTTTAAAACACACCATGTAGTCTAGTGAGAAGGCCTTAAACAGATCATTAGATTTTAGTAGCTATCAAAAGTACTAATACAACCTGGCCCTGCACTTGCTTCAATAACTCTTTTTCTGAATTTCTATGCTTTCCCTTGCCAATTTTCAGTTCTTATAAATCTCAAGGCCTCTGATTTCCCTAAGATCCCCAATTACTCCATCCCTGCCCAAAGAAAGCAGATGACTCTCCCTCTGCACATTACCAAGAAGACTGAGATACAAAATTATTAGCTCCCTCAAAAGCCTTCATCTATATTTCAACAAAGTGAACACAACTATCTTCCCATTTTTACTCTCAATCAGAGAGAGTTGTATGTTAAATTAAAAAACAAACTTTTAAAAATGCTCTAATCAGATGTGGTACATATACAGAATGGAATATTATTCAGCCATAAAAAGAAAAGAAATCCTGCCATTTACAGCAATATGCATTGATCCAGAGGGTATTAAGCTCAGTAAAATAAGCCAGGTGGAGAAGGACAAATACTAAATGATTTCTCTCATTTGTGGAGTATTAAAAAAAAGCAAAACAGAAGGAACAAAACAGCAGTAGACTCACAGACACAGAGAAGGGACTAGTGGTTACCAAACAGGGGGGGTCAGGGAGGGTAGGTGGGGAGGGAGAAGGGGATTAAGGGGCACTATACTTCGCAATCACAACATAGGTAGGTCACTGGGATTATAGTACAGCACAGAGAATACAATTCATGACTCTATAACATTACACTACGTTGCTAGACAGTGACTGCAATGGAGGGGGTAAGGCCTTGATAATATGGGTGAATGCTGAACCACTGTGTTGTGTAGTGTATATGAAACCATCATAAGACTGTGCATCAATGATACTTTAATAAAAAACAAAAAGTTCTAACCTCCTATAATTGTCTAGGCCTCAGCCCCAAATCCACACTCCTGAAAATCCAGGCCTTTGTTACCCAAAACCGTGATTGCTGCAGCAGCTTCTCAGCCCCTGGAATCCAGTATCTCCTATGTCATTATAGCAGTAGCAGTGGCAGCCACTTTTAAGTACATTTACCATGAGTCAGGTTCTATGCTCAGTGGCTTAAAAACACTACCAAGTTTAATTCTTCTTCCCATTTTTTCAGACAAGGAAATTGAAGCTAAAAAACACTGTCCCTGTGCTAAACACATTGGCCACTAACTAAGTAGAATCGTAAACAAACTGACCAGTGCTATTCAGATTGTTACTTTTCCTCTCTTCTAGAAGGCCAAGTAGACAGTGGGATTTTCCTAATTAAGTCCAAGAATGACCTAAGTCCACTATAAGCTCAAGACTGCATTTTGGAAGTACACAGACAGTACAAGAGAAGGACCTAAGCGTTGGGGAGGCAAGAAAGAAACAGGGAAGTTTCTGGTAGTTTGTGAGGCCAGATTCAACAACCTGGAAACTGGAAGGGAAAACACATATAAGGGCATGACATGAAAAAGCTGAACAGAAGGAAACTGAGAACGCTGGTACCACCAAGAGTGGAGAACGCATACTGCCATTACAGAAATACAAAGAAATGGACCAGAAAAGTAGAGAAAACCAGAAGGACATCATGTGCTTAGACTGTGCTAAGACATTTGACATTCACCCAGAAAGCAACAGGAACGCTGAAGGATCTTTACGTAGGCTAGTAATGTTTACGAATTTGTGATTAGAACATGAGCTATCAGTCGTTTTTCCAATAGTGAGTACAGAGTTCGTAGATTTTCCAGTTCCCCTCAAGCTATCTCATACTTCTCCTGTCACTAAAACATGTATGCAACACTGTTTGTGGTATAACCTATTTCCCGAACTTAACACAATCACCATCCATCAAAAATTCTTCCTATCCTGTGCCTTTCTTCAATGCATGTCTCTTACTTCTCTTTTTAAGTGGGGAAAAAAGTCTTGATCATCTTCTTAAACGTTTCACATACTTAAGTAATAAAAGTACCAGTTTTCCTAAAATGTTAGTTCTCTAGCTGTTCCTCAACCTTTCTATTTTTAAGTTTCAAACTACAGGTCTCCTCTATCTATCAAGCTGAGGAATTCATAAACTGACAAAGTACATGATACCCAGAAAGGGCAAGTTTACTGAGCTCAAACAATACAGTTAGTTATACACAAAACACATAGGCTAAGCTGTAAGAAAAGAAAGCTTGGTTTGCTCACATACTTGATAATTTCTCCATATTCATCCCATTTGATTCTTTCTTCTGGGGCAGGAAACATAGGATAGGACTTTTTAGCCTGTTTGAAGAAACTCCCTTTACGACTCCCTTCACCTTTCATCATCAGGTCATGCTTAGTTTTATGAGCCGATGGCTGGTCAATATCTTCTTCAACGTCACTCTCATCACTGGAATCTATATCTGCCCTAAGAGGATTTTGGAATAGATTAAGGTCATAAAGACCCAAAAAGATTTTTAATGCTTATAAAATTAACTGAACTGATTCAACAGTAATATAGTAATCAGTATTACTAGATTGATATTTTATAAAACACAGCATTAACTGTCAGTTAATAAATATATATTAATATTAGGACTGAAAGAATTTGGCATTCTAGCACCATTTGAAAGATGCTAACAAAAGCAATGAAGTCAAAAGAAAACTCAAGCATTTTCATTTCAACATTTTTGTCTTAGAAAGTTTTTTTCAAATTACATATATAAACTTCTCATGTCTGAAAATAACTCACTCTTTTGACTGCTCAAGTTTTTTAGCAGCTTCTTTTTTTAGTTTCTCTTTTTCCAAGTATTCTTCAAGTTCTTTCCCTTCAAGCTTCACACGCTTCCTTAACTAAAGAAAAATAACAGATGAAAGAAAATATTATATAAATTTTTTTTTTGGTTACAGCAATGGGGTGTGAGATATGCCACATCTCTAAACTAATTCATCATCTTTAAATTTTCCTCTGAAATTATTCATTTCCATTATATGCAGTTACAGATCCTATTTAGATTAGTACTAAAATTGAGCTGTCACATATCTGGGATAAGTTTAATTTAAATCAAACTGGTTAAAAATCACCAAACAGGAAAACAAAATACAGATGATTTGTAGTGAGGTCTACACATGATGTAAAACTCAGAAGTCATAAAGGAAAGATGGATCAACATGGCAACATAAAAAAAAAACTCTTTGACATTTTAAATCTCATAAATTAAGAGAAATGGAGAGAATGATTTGTAGTACTATGTGATTATCAGTAGCTACTTTTTCCTAAGTGCTCTTTCAAACAAGTAAAGAAAAAAATCAACAAATCAAAAAGAAAATAAACATTTAAGCAATTGACAAAACCGAAAACAGTAACAACAGCTATCAAAAGATGTCTAGCTTCACTAGTAATTTTTGAACAAGGCAAAAATTTTTAATGCCATACTATTTTTTAATCTGAGATTGGCAATGCTAATTACTATATGGAGAAAGGATACCTTCAACCACTATCTAAAAGAAAATTAGCACTATGTTAGAAGGCAATTTTGTCAACATCCAAACATGAAAATGTGCTTGTCATTTGACACAGCATTTCTACTTCTAGGGATTTATCCTTCTGCAATGATTACACAAATATGAGGGGGCAGGAAGGACATTGCAGCAACTTTTGTAACAGTAAAAAGGTGGATACAATTTTAAATCGATTAACATAGAATAATGAAATCAGAAAGTCTCAAACTTTTTGATCTCAGGACTGCCTTAGACTCAAAATTACTGAGAACACTGTTTTCTTTTTGTAGGTTACAGGTATTACTATTTACCATATCAGAAATTAGAAGTGAGAAATTTTTAGAATATTTATCTGTTCATTAAAAAATAAAATGATTACATGGTAACATTAGCATTTTTTTATAAAAGATAGTTGTATTTTCTCCAAAGTGGAAAAAAAAATTAGCAGGAATTATGGCATTACTTTATATTTTGCAAGTCTCTATAATGCCTATAGCTCAATATGACAGTTGGATTCTCACACCTGCTTCTGCTTTCAATCTCTTGCAAGATGCTGCTTTGGTTAAAGTACATGAAGAGACTCCAGCCTCATACAAATAAATGTACAGATGGAAAAGGGAAAAATATTTAAATAGGCTTTTCATGAATATTCTTTCTTAATATCGAATTACAACTCAAAAAGTAGTGTTTCTTAAAGGTTAGTTGTAACATGGAATCTGAAACCATACCAGTAACTTTTTGTACTCTTATTAAATTTATTGATTTATCTTATACTTTGAATGGATGTTTTATTTGTGCATTATTTCATAACTACATGCATTGGTCATTTGGAAGTATTGGTTCACCAAGTTATACAGATCTTACAAATGTTGACAATATTTAAATAATCACATTTACAAATATCACCATCAATCCCATCAGCAAAGTCTTAAATTGTCAATCTGATACTGATGGGTATAAATTTTCCAAAATGCTAATTTTCACTTAAAAATCTGAATTTTATCAGATTTAAGTAACAAATGCTATGAATTGTTTTCTTAGAATGACAAGTTCAATTTATTCACTTTTGAGAAAACATCTGCAAAATATTCAGGTTAGAATAACTATGTCATTATTTCAAGTAAAGGTGGTATTCTAAGGAAAAAAAGTGGCTAGTTTAACACACAACTCAATTATACAAGTGGTTTCCTTTGAGACAAACATACGTCAGTATACAACACCAAGAGGTTTATGCATACTTCCCATCTTGCCACCCAGACTATTTAAAAAACATTTTACTTGTAAGATTTAACGAAATTAATTACTTCCACTGCTTCAACAAGAACATTCTTAAGTGAAACTGACATTTTTGGAACTACAAGTGCATGGTGATGAAAATGCAGTGACTACTAGGACAATGTGGGGCCACTGTTGATTTATGCTAAGGCACCGGCACTTTACCCACCATTGCTTTCACTCAGCAATACAAATTAGGCATGGTGAAAAAGCAAATAACATCCTATTATTATTATGAAAAATAGTTTTGACCTTGTAGACTGCCTGAAAGGGTCTTAGGGACTTCCCCAGGGGCCCTCACATGATACTGTTGAGAACCACTTGATTAAATAATCACAGCACATATGTGCAGTGTATTATAAAAACACTAAAAAGTATTCATTTATTCAAAAATACTTGAATCTCTATGATATATCAAGTACTATGTAAGGTGAATGTGTATCTACTTACACTGTTCAAACTATGTGGAAAATTTGGTCCCATTTCTTTGAAAAAAAAAATCATATGGCTATTTGCCTGTGACTAGGAAAAAAAATATCCAACATTCATTCTCTAAAAAATGTCAACAGTCATGACAACTAAATGCAATGTGTAATTCTGGATGGGATCCCAAACAAAACATGAAAGGGAAATCAGAGGCGGTTGGGGCAACCAGCAAAAGTTGAATGGGGGTGAGTGGATGAAATGGTAGTCTAGTATCGGTGCTTATTTCCATATGTCAATAGATGTACCATGGTTTCCAGGAGTGTCCTTGTCTTCAGGTAACAAACACTGCTTGCTGTGTTTAGAAGTAATGATGGAATATCTGCAGCCTCCTTCCAAAGAGTTGAGAAAAAATATCTAATATTGTGGTTGTGTGTGCATAGAGAAGTGATAAGGCAAATCCAGTGAAATGTTAACAACTTGGGAATCTGGGTATCCTATTTTTACTTCAAAATTATTTCAAAATAAGAAGTAACAACAAGAACAAAATTAAACCAAAATCAAGTGATTCTACTATATAAAATAAATTAGTGATTTACATGTTTTTTTCTGGCATCCCACACATGCCTCATAGCTAACTTGAAAGTAAATTCCATTTAGAAAAGTGTCATTATGTTCCTGTGTTAGCAACTTAAACAGATTCCTACCTACAAATAAATTTTAACACATTTACCCCTTGATTTAGTTTATGCTTGTTGCATTAATAAATTTTGCTCTCCATTTTTTAAGATATATCCATTTTATATTTAAGACATCTAAAAGTAATGGCTATACTCAGAGACAGATTTCTAGAATAATCAACCCTAAGATATTTTCCTTCCTACCACTGTATTACATCCAGAGATTTGGAGATTGTGGTTAAGTATGACCACAGGAGTGGACAGCATTATCATGGGAAGGGATGGCTAAGGTGGAGTAAAGGAAAAGATCATTAAGAAATAAGGAACTAAGGGAGCCAAGGAATTGGACAGATCATATACATGGATGCTAAAGTCATCAAGGAAGCAGCCCTGAGTATGAGTATACAGAAAGACGATGAAGAAGCATCTAAAGTCAACAAGAATCAGTAAATGTCAGAAATAAGGAGAGGTTGCTGTATTGTCAAGTCTGATGGCATGAACTACAGAGGGAAAACAAATGGCTTGAAAGCTGTAATACAGAAAAAGGACACGTACCTCACCCAAAGTCCATGAAATGTGGAAGAGAAAAAAGAAGCAAAGGAATACCTACTTCAAAGGGCAAGGAAAAATGTGAACCTTTCAGAGAGAGATTGAGAGTTTGTGTGACACACACACACACACACACTCACACTCACATACCTACCTCTTCTGGGTATCATGGAAGGGTTTCAGCTCCAGAATGAGAATTTCCAGTTTAAGGAAGTCTGCAATTTGTGCTGTTAAAGTCTCTCTACTGTTATTCTGATAGCGATCTTGTTTTATTTTTGGTCACCAGTTTTTATAAACATCATGCATAATGTATCCCCCAAACAGTTTTATGATAAAGTTCACCTACAAACACTTACCTCTATTTCTGTAATTTTTTCAGAAGGATTATCAATTAAGAAACGCGCTAAAGTCCCAGGAGTAGTTCTGTAAGTTAGAATGATTGAGTTTTTAGGGTCCTGACACCACTGAATAAAGAGATCCCTTGAAAATCCACATTCCAAGTCAGGCTGGCTGGCAAGCACGACTTTAGGGCTAGGCACTCGAGCCAAGTCAGAAAGACCGTGACAGAGAGAGAGATGGCGAAACTGAAATGGATTATTTCTTTTGTCTTCAAAACATCTCATCAATTTATCACTCATCCATTCTACCTAATATGGGGGGGAAGGTGACAACAATTAGAAAATACTGTTTTGTAACTTCAATGTATTCTACAATAGTCAAGGAGTTGAAGTTTTATCTTGCTTTAAGTCTTTTTCCTACCAGTAGTTGCTTAAATTTGTACCATTTTGACAAGCAGCTTATTTTCTGTTTCTGTTTCCCACTAGATCCTCCCATCCCAATGCTCATCTCATTCTGCATAATGTTTCAGTTCTAAGTCACCTTAAATCTTATTGAGAAGGCAGCGTGTAAGTTCTAAATGAATGTTACCTCAGAGGTTGCTTTTTCAAGGAAAAAGAGCTTTAAAGGAAGAAAAAAATGAATTGTACCATTTATATCCCATGAGGTAGGTTCTACTTTTGTCCCCACTTTACAGACTGTGATGCTGAGCATTTGAGAAACAACTTGCCTAATCTATAAAATGGGGACAGAACAGAACTACTTCATAGAGTATATAAGGATTTGATGAATGCATGTAAACATACAGAACAGTAAGTGGTTAGCTTTTATCTTTATTATTATTGTTATTATTTGCATTATAACCATCAACCTCTTCAACAGGAAAATAAATACAAAGAGCAATTAAGACCTTGTTTTCCGAAAGCCTAATCTTTGTAGCAAACTTCTTTATTACAAATGATAATATGAAAACAAACCTGGGACTTAGAAAACTCCACCACATTATAACTGACATTATTTAGGAGTGCCAATGAGTAAACACCCAATCCTGCATCTTTAGTTCTCCAAATTTGATCAAGGAGTTGAGCAAGTTCCAAAACTCTGCCTGCAGTGTCCACTGCTATTAGTACATTTCCATCACCTCGAAGTGTTTCCAGGACATTTGCTAGAAAACAGGAATTTAAAATCTCTATACAACATTACAATACTTTGTTACAAAATTAAAGGTAATTTTATCTTCATGTTTTTACTATAGACTTTAACTTATACATAAGCAATTACTAGGCCAAGTACAAAATAAAAAAATTTGACTCAGGTTATTACAACTACTCTTTATGCTATGAATATATCCCCACAAGATGCAAAAATAATGCCATTAACTCAATTTTTTTCATTGAAAAATTATAAATCTATGATTTTCAACCTTTTTCACCCACAGTATACATAGAAAATGGTATCTGTACAGTACATTGGGAAAATTGGATGAGCATGCCAAATTCAACTAGCCTGAGGTTTGCAGGTCACTCTGATCTCACCTGTCCACCCCAGTGAACTTTAAAATAAATAATTCCCACATTATGGGACACACACACACATCTGTACATTATATTCATACACATGAATTTTGTATGTATGCATGCCTATAAAATAAAATATAGATTATATTCCTTCTTCCAACAAAGGTATCTTTATAAATAGATTTCCATGCTCTAGATGAAAATCTGCTTGGAAATATTTAGTAAAACCAAACTTTAACAAAAACAAGAACTGAGAACCTTAAAGGTAGTGTAACAGCACAAGAGTTGTATTTTTTAAGCAGATAGATGAAGGCAGTGGTTTTAAAGATGTTTAAAAGTAGAATCCAATTTTCCCTGTTGAAATCCCATGTAGCTTATAAAAAAAAGAATACAAAGTAAAGCAGCTCAAGCCAAAGCAGAAACCCCAGGGATACCCCAAGGGCACCTCTTCTGAGCCAAGACTACAAGATTAGAATGTAAAACCAGGGGACTATTTGTACCTTCATTTATCTCCTATGCTCATTTTTCTTTTAGAACATAAATGTTTTTCTATTAGATTTATAAGAGCTCTTTATATATTTTGGTGTCCCCTAGACATACACCAGTAGGAGCCAGGGAGACCTAGCTATGTGCTGAGTGGCAGGGAGAAGCCAGTCTTTATATCTATCCCACAAAAGCTAAATTCAAACCAACTAAAGCATTTTTTTGTACAAAATATTTATACGGCTACGTAATATTTTTTCAAAAATACTAGTTAGCCAATCACTTAGGGCAAGAAAAGTGTTAAACGAAACAGAAGAAACAGTAATTCCTACTACCATGCACTTGCACAGCTCTTTAATCAGGATATTATATAATACATACTCAGAAGTTGCTCATCTCTCTGTTTTCTCCTCGGCTGCACATATGTAGCATTAAATGAATCTGTGATAAGTAGGGAGGGTCGGCTTAGCATTTCCAGGGAACATCCATTTAAGTGACTATAACAAAGTTGAAGAAGAATATTTAATATCACTTCAAATAAATAATAGCTTATCTCACCTAAAATATAAGGGTTTTTTCCTGTTGATCATTGATAAAATCTAGCAAATTCAGAAAGAATGTAAGAAAAGATCTCCCAGAATACCATCACTCAGAGAAAATGATATATTTTGTTGTACACCCTAAGCATATAAATTTTTCCATGCATATATCTGGTTATGTATTTTACAAAGAGTATGCCTACATACTCAGTTCTATTTCCTAGTTTTCCCCATGACATTAAAATTGTTTTCTAAATCTAATTTTTAACAAATGTGTAACAGCTTTCTATTGTGTCTGTACTATATTTATTACCTTTATTGATATTTACTTTTTTTGCCATTATAAAAAAAATCCTCTCAAGAACATTTTTGCAAAAAGCTTCAAGTGCATTTCTGATTGTTTCTTAGATCACATTCCTAGAAATGTATTTACTGTAATATTACAATATTGCTAAATGGCTCTCCAGAAAGGTTTAACAGAAAGATCTCCCCTTTCCAAAAAGATTCCACCCAACTTACTAACTCACTAAATATTTCCAGAAGAATACTACCATTTAAAAATAATTTTAATAGTATTTAATTTAAAAAATCATTATCATTTAAATTTTCTCTTTTTTGACTTTATAACTTTGGTCCATTTTGCAACAAGTGTCTTTTTGATTAATACCTGGTCTCTGGTTAACTTGCTACAAATACCTTCCCTTAGTTTTACTGGTGTTTCAATCTATCATTTCAGTGATTGTGAACCCTTCTCTAATGAAATCTATCAAAGTTTCCATTTGTAACTTGGTCCATTGCCTTAAGCTTATGGTCTTTTCCAAGCCAAGAGTCTGGATTCACCAATAATGTTTTGTTTTCTATTTAATTCTAAATTCATCCAAAATTTGTTATGCGGTAAAAAAGACACAAACTGACATTCTTCCCAAAATGTTTGAATTTACTTAAATACCGTCTACTCAAATATCCATCCTTTCTTCATTAACCTGTTAGTGTAAAAGGCTAGTGTACAATTAATCTGTTAGTATAAGAGCTTAGTATAAAATTCAATTTATTAGTCTTAAATATTTTTTAATGTAAGACACAATAGATCTTGAGGCTACTTTTATCTAATAAAACACAGCTATGAACTTAACATACAGAATTATCAAAGTCTATGTGAGATTAAACACCATGATTTTACAGTAATGCTGTGAGTACAAAATAAAGTATTTAAAATTATAGTTACTGTGTCCCCTTTTAAAGGGTGTCTGATTTTAAATATAGTTATGTTACACTGTAATTCCTGACTGTGCCACAAAATTCAAAAGTAGAAAGACACAAAAGAATAAAAATCCACCCACAAAGTTTCTTGAAATAGCAGGTCAAAAGCATATAAAATATAACTTGATGT